AGGTAGGTGTTCTGGAACTTTCTTGGACTCTTATTGACCTGAAAGGATAGGAAGTAGCCGCTTATCAGATGTTTTCTGTTTGAGGCGCAGGAAACTGATCACCAAGGAGTTTTAAAGTTTATTCCCCAGTAATGAGCGGGACTCATTATGGAGGTAGAGAAGCCAGAATTGAAAGAGTTGGGGAGTGGGGATGGACCCAGCTGGGCTGCCACCTGGACATGGAGGATCAGCAGCATGTGGCTGGTCTGGGGGTCTTTTTAAGGGGAGGAACAGAAGAGGGTTGGACCCAGGGCAGAACAGGAAGGGGTGGGCTCCAGGACACTTTGGCAGGCTCTGATCTATGGCTCAATGTCTTGGGGATGTCTCTGTGACAGGTGCCAGCAATGTCATAACTCCACCCACCAGCTGGGAGGAGGGAGAACCTTATAGTCATGAGCATAAGGGATTATAAAGCCGAGCAGCCCGCCTGCTCTGTGTGCACGCGCTTCCAGACCATGTGTGTGCACCCTTCTACGTGTGCACTCTCTCCTCAGGTGGAACCTCCAGGTACCGCATCTACAAGGCCCTGAACCGTCTCCCCTCCACCTCACCTGCTCTCCCTCTTGTTGATTCTCCTCCGACCACAATGGCTTCCCCAATGCACCTTAAGCCTGCCAGGCAGCAATGAGTGTTTGGAATTATTTTGGTAAAATCAGTGAGTTAGCTTTCAACACATTGGCCAGAAATGCTTCCCTCTAAGGAAATGGTGTGTGGGGTGTGCAGCTATGGGGTCTCTAAGATGACATTTAAGTCACCTCAAAACAAAGGCTGATGTAGATAATGGACTCTTTTAGCTACAACATGCTAGTTAATAGCTTTTGTTCCAAGTTTAAATGTGGCAAAAACAACTTTAAAGGGATATGCTTGCCTTTGTTTTTTTTGAACATTTCTAAACATGTCAGTCCCTCAGTTTTTTTGTTATCCATGTAGCAAACAGTAGAGATTCTGTGCATGAAAAATCCCTTTGTGGATATTTGTTGGGCTGCCCTTCAGGTGATAATTCATTATAATCATATCGCAAAGAATAAGGATGGAACAATTAAAAAAATCAATTAAGAAATTAAGGGACCAGATACTATAGTTTGCTCCTTCAACTAAAAAGGTGATACCGAGAATTACTTTAAGCTCAAGTTCAAAGTTTATTTATCAGTTTTAGAGAGAGAAAGCAGGAAGAGGAGAGAGAGAGAGAGACAACCCACAATGCTGGCATATGGGAATGATGCTATAACCAACTGAGCTGCCAGTTATGTTATTAAGAAAGTTATTATTTCTCAACCAACATATGTAGAGGATGAGGTAAAACATGGAATAAACAATCTAAACAAAATCCCGTAACATAGCTGATGGAAACTAAGGCACCCTCTCCACCCTTATCCCTGTACTGACCCAAGTTCTAGTTACTGAGATAGTTTTGTGCAATCCCCTCTTCTGCTTTGATTTTAACTCTTTTTGAAGACAGCAAATACCCGACAAGGTTTTAAAAAGTCAAAATGATATAGAAAAGCAAACATGAGAAATCTCACTTCCACCCTGCCAGCACTCACCATTTCCATTTATATATTTTTAAATTCTTCTGGTATTTCTTTATGCAAATACATCGTCTTATCCACACCTTCTCTCCCCTCACCCAACTCCCTTTTTACACAAAATACAGCATATTCTCTATAGCGTTCTGTTTCCCACTTAACCATGCATGCTGGCAACTTCTGATCCGCCTCATGCTGTTTTACAGCAAATCCTATCCCACTGTGTGCATGCACAATTGGTATTTAACTTGTTTTTACAGTTGGATTGGTTTTTTTTTTTTTTTGCATTAAAACAGTGCTGTGATGAGTAATTGTGCATGTAATTTTGCACACGTGCAGGTGTATGGGTATTTTGTTTTCCCAGAAGTGAGACTGCTACTTCAGAGAGTGAATAATTTCATAGGTATTGCCAGAGTCTCCTCCCCAGGGAACTAAAGCATTTCACATTCCCACAACTGGCACAATGCATCCTTCCCACTTACCCCTATGAGAATGAACAAGTCATCTTTTCTGTCAAAGAAGTTTAGACAGCTGCCATGTTGAACTGTGTGACTTGGCAGCCGCCATGTTGGCCACATGGCTTGCAGCTCCCCTGGGGGCTGCCATCTTGAAACAGCAAAGGCCAATCCCTCCCTATGAATTAGCCAATTGCAAAACACTGTGAGCCTGAGCTCCAATCAAGAGCAAAGGATAGATCATGTGCGTCAGGGATTATAAACCTGAGCAGACAGCCTGCTCAATGTGCGCACGTGCTTTCAGATCATGTGTGCCCACCCTTCTACGTAGAAGTAAATAGTTTGCCTTGCTGCCTGGCTCCTGAGTATGTTTTGTGTTCTACCAGGTCCCCTAACTCCCCACCTGCCAACAGAATGTCATCAAACTTGAGGATTTTTGCCAATCTAATAGATGACAGGTGATACCTTAGTTTAATGTGCATTTTCCTCTTATTAAAAAGGAGCTTAAGCTCTTTACCTGGGTGTAAGGGACACTTGGCCTGTTTACATCCTGGTCCATTTTTCTATTGAGTTGTTGATTGTTTTATTTTTCACACCTAAGACTTCTCATATAGTAGAGAGATTAGAATGGGCTTAATTTTCTCAACACAGTACAGAACTATAGCTTTAAAAGTCTTTAAAAACTTATTCATGCCATCCCCCCCCCCCCCCCTTGGAAACAGGAATCTCCTATTCCCAATCAGGAGAATTTTATTTAGTTTTTTTATTTCAAAGTAATATCTATTTACTATAGAGATATTGGAAGAAGCCCAGTAGGTGTGGCTCAGTGGTTGAGTGTTGACTTATGAACCAGGAGGTCAGGGTTAGAGTTCTGGTCAGGGCACATGTCCTGGTTTCGAGCTTGATGCCCATTGTGCAGGAGGCAGCCAATCAGTGATTCCCTCTCATCACTTATGTTCCTCTCTTTCTCTCCCTCTCCCTTCCTCTCTGAAACCAATAAAAATATTTTAAAAGAAGAAATTTAAAACAACCACGCTTACACTTTCTTACATTCCTTTTCTAAGTACGTAAAATCGAAAGGGACCACCTTCCCTGTCACAACACCGCCCCCCAGAGGTGGCCCTTGGTGACCATTGATGGTTTCTGGCGGGTAGCCCACGTTCTACTTCCCTCTCTACTGCCATACTTAACTTAGGTGGTGGGAAATGTTCCATTTCAGCAGTATCCTTTCTGCTGTTACCTTTCCACAAAGCAACAAAACTAACAAAAATATGGCCCTATTTAGGGGTTGTGGTTCTGCAAACCCAGCACCCTCGTGGCCATGGTCATTTTAGGAACAGAGCGTCCAGCGAGGGCCGGAAGAACAGAGGTCTGCTTACCTACCTCTCATCTGCCACGTCTCAAAACATCGGACTACAGGGTCCTGCGGCATCCCCTCTGGCCCTCCCAACGGAAGCTATTAGTCAAACATTTTAACTTCAACTAGCGGCACAACGAAAACAACCAAAGACACTTGACCATGTTGGTAATTTTGTTAGAATTTATATTTTGAAATAAAAATTCGTAACAATTCTTTACAAAATCATCATATAGGAGCACACTTGTGGATACTGTTGCATGCTGCGTTTACTTAGAAAAAGTTACAGACATAGTAAAAAAAAACAAACCCACCAAAACCGGTCATTTACAAATGGGAGTTGCTTTCTTTGAGCAAAAGGGAGCTTGAGAAGAATGAGAGCCAGGCCTCCCCAGTGAGGAGCTGGAGCCTGCCTCCAGGGCAGGGTGTGTGTGTGTGTGTGTGTGTGTGTGTGCCCTTGTTTCCTGGGCACCAATGGAGACTGGATTCCTTCTCAGTCCCGTGTGCCGTGGCCCTTGCATTTGGGAGAGCTGTAAGCCATGATAACAGCACCGTTTCCCTTCGATTGCAGACTTCAGCAGAACAGAACGCGCTCAGGTATTTTACTGCAGAGGGCGCTCCAGTTTTTGTCTGACTCTCATCATCTTTGGAAGCTTCCATCTCATTTCTGATTCCGTTCGGGGATTCGGAGAGCCTCCTCGGGGGCAGTCTCCACGCACACAGTGCTGTTCCCGGAGCCGGAGCCTGTGGTCCTGCCTTCATCACACAGGCTGTGCTGTCTGCGCTCAGGCCCAAGCCACCTTGTATGACAGAGGGTCCACCTTGACTTACTGGATCCTGCTCACAGTTCTCGGTGTATCATCTCAGTTGTATTTCAGTGTGTTCCCATGGAATTTCTTCAATTCACGATGCTTTCAGCTGGGCTTGCTTGGGAGGTTTTTACCTATCAGCTCTTCAGGTTGCTCAGGGACACACCAGGAGAACGTGCGGGCGGAAGAGCACCTTAGAGTTCTAACTCTCTCCTTCTGATGAGTATCAACTTAGATTGCTCACACTTTCCAGTGAAATATTTAGGTTCTTTTCAACAGCAAACATGATATGCTCCGATAAATGGCCTACACACACAGCTAAGTCATCCGAAGATACCAATTCCAAAATCAAGATCCTCATGCCTTTGACCATGCACATGGCCCCTAAATTCTAGGACACAGGTTATTCCGTCATCACACATTATTCTATCATCATTGCAATAGTTTGATGAAAACTAGAATGCATACTCTTGAATGAGAGCATATCAGTATCAATGAAAATCGTTACTCAATGTTTAACTCCATCATTACTTGAAAATTCAGAGCATAGCACCACTAAAACTTGCTAATTATCAGAGCTTTTGAGTTACAATCACTTCCTATAATTGTACTGCTACCCTTTACTTATCCTAATTCAATTCAATTCAATTCAATTTCAACTACCCGATTCTGAGTTTGAGGTAGCGTCATAGTGGCTCTATTGCTATGAAGGTACCCCCGGGAGTACCAGAATAGATTTAAATGAGGGGAGACAATATAAAATCATTTTTCCCACTTGGCAACCAAACTAAAAAAAGAAAAACCATACATGTCTTTAGCGATAAAAATACAGTTCTTTGGTGAGCATAGACACAATGCACGGAATCTGTTTCTTTGCGTGAAAAGTGGAGTCAAAGGAGAAGGATTCGAACTCGGTTGCCACCTTCCGGTTGACCCGGGTGAGGATGTGCATGAGCTCCAGCTTGTCCGCGTACTGCTTCAGCATCGTACACAGCGACTGGATGAACCAGGACCCGTCCTTTGAGTTTCGCCAGGAGTAGTAACCTACGAGGCAAACACAACCACAGCGCCATGGGCATCAGATTCTAAATGACCACCTAACCATAGAGGCAAAACACGCACAAACTTCTGTCGGTATTATCGGCCGTCAAAGGAAGAAAGTAAATAAATGGCAGGTTTGGTTTTGGGGAAATGATGCTGAGGGGAAAGGAAACGACAGAAACACGTGCGGTGCACACAACGCTGCTTCGACCAGGAAACGGAAGGAACGTGGATGAGCTTCACCGCTGAGCTGCCGAGTTCTCCTTCGGGGCTTCCTCCCGGAGGGAAGAACAGTGAACACGCAGACGCAGGGGCAGAAGGCTCGTTATAAGGAGCATGGTCTTCAACCAGACTATTGGTTCATCCAAGAAGGAAACTGCTTATGTAGGCACACATCTGAGTGTCCTAAATTTGTCTACAGGGCACCCGAATCCAGTGTGATACACTCATTACAGAGTATCGAAGTCCACAATGGGAAATGGTCTATTTATTGTACTTTTTCCAGATTAACTCTTGGGTTCACTGCTTTTATTTAGAAATACTTTACTTGGAAAAAATGCCTAAAGGTTAAAAAAATTATATTTGAAGACATAACAGGATAAATGTATTTATCCTGTATTTCAAAACTCTGGGATAGCCTGAGTTAGTTAAATAAATAACTGTACACACAACAGTTATTTACATGATGCTATGTGCAACACACACACACACACACACACACACACACACACACACACAGCAGAGGCTAATAACCTAGTCATGTATCACTTACTTTATTTCTTTTTAAATATATTTTATTGATTTTTTCTTTTGCCTCATTCCACTTCTACCCTCCAAGTACGACTCCTATTTAACTTTTTCACTTCCCATCTTCCAAAGAATTCCTGGAAAACATTCCTCTCCCTATTCCACGAAGTGGGTGAAGTGCCAAGTTGGCCTATATTACAATAAAGAATCCTATCTGGTATTAGGTCCATGAATGACACTGTAAGTTGCTTTCTTATAAGTGTCTATTTTCTAGCCAAACTTGGCTAAAAACCACTTTTTGAGACCTTTCTGTGGTCAAGGTACCCTAAAACACAAACAAGTGAGCTATTTTTTATGGATATCAATACATTGACAGCCTTTGGAACATACTCTCCGTTGTTTAATGCGTACATATAACTTTCAGGGTTGTGACTTCTTTTTTTTTCTTTCTTTTTTTCAATGTATTTTATTGATATTTTACAGAGAGGAAGGGAGAGAGATAGAGAACTAGAAACGTCGATGAGAGAGAAACATCGACCAGCTGCCTCTTGCACACCCCTACCGAGGATGTGCCTGCAACCAAGGTACATGCCCTTGATCTGAATCGAACCCGGGACCTTTCAGTCCGCAGACCCACGCTATACCACTGAGCCACACCGGTTTCGGCAGGGTTGTGACTTCTTACCAGGAGCTGTTGAATACGCATACACGAAGTCTGCCTCCACTGGAATTTTCTGATACCCCATGTCATCATCTGCATTACTGTCAGTCTCAATACCACAGTCCAGTTCTGTACCTCGGCAAGCCTAGCCATTAGAGAAGAAACATTTATTTTTTAAAAATGTGTACACACATCACTGATTTCTAAGAAATGTAAAAGTTGATGTTAATTATGCAGAATCTTTTTGATGCAAGTCTAAAATTAAGATACATCTGTATCTCCTAGTGGTAGTTAAAGTGAATCAGAAAGTAGCAATAGTTCAGTAGCTTCAGGGAAAATTCCTTTGGCTAATCCACAATGAAGTGAATCAATCCCCAATGCATCCTCCTTAGCCCAGTTGCTCAGTTATAGATTACCTGAATGAAGAAAAGTTTGGGCTTTCCAGCTAGACTTCTGCAGTTATCCCCTCGGAAAAAACTTGCTAATTTTGTCAGGTCAACCGGTCCATTTGTTCCATAAATTACTCCTTCATCACCATGGCTTAGAAGCACGCAGACAAAACTGCTCCTCTTGCTATGATCTTCTTTAGAAACTGGAAAAATGTTTACAAATAAGAAAACAGACAAAAAATAGCACAACTCTATTCAACAATCTCATACATACTATCTATAATAACAAAAGTGTAATATGCTAATTAGACCAGACAGCCGAACGACCTTCCAGATAAAGCCGGGGATGCTAGGGCCGAGCCCCTTGCACGAATTTTGTGCATCAGGCCTCTAGTGTGGGAGTAAAATGAAGAAACTGAGAACAGAACTAAGAGATCATCTTAACCCAACGAGGGGCACGATTAACTCTGATCTTGCCTATATAAGATACACAGAGTACGATTATGCACAGTATAGTTCTACAATTCTTCTGTCTTATTATTATATGTATAATTACAGCTAGACTTTGGAATACTAACATTGTCCTGGAATAAAACTGGACAAGGAAGGCATTCTTTTATTAATTACTTCTTACCGTCATGCAACAGTTTCACTATCTCCTCGCGGGTAAAGTCATTTTGGATTCTGACTTCATATTTCAAGTTCTTGAAGGTTTCGCTGAGGTTTGCTGCATCGACATCGGTACCCAACCGAGGTGCCATTCCTTGGAACAGAAAGCATTACTTTTATTTGGATTTTAAAAAAGATTAACTGCTCTGAAATGAAATGAACTTCTCAGTAATTCACACATCGACAATAATTTACACAACCCACTATAATTACTATAGATAGAATTTTGCCAGGGGAAATGGTCATTCCTTAAAAAAGACTAGAGAATAATAACTTCTAAAAAATTTATTTATTTATTTAGTAGTTGTTAATCCTTGCCCAAGGATACTTTTTTTTTTTTTAATAGATTTTATTGATTTTTGTACAGAGAGGAAGGGAGAGGGATAGAGAGTTAGAAACATCAATGAGAGAGAGTCATCGATCAGTTGCCTCTTGCACACTCCCCACTGGGGATATGCCCGCAACCAAGGTACATGCCCTTGACCGGAATCGAACCCGGGACCCTTCAGTCCCCAAGCCGACGCTCTATCCATTGAGCCAAACCGGTCCCAGCCCAAGGATACTTTTTCATTGATCTTTAGGGAGAGAAAAAGAGATAGAGAGGTGCCGGAAACAAATCAGTTTCACTGAGAGATATGGACAGAAGCCAGGAAGGCTGGTCAACAACCTGAATTGCTTTAACCACTCACTCTTTAGTGGAGACATTGTTAGCTGAAGCAGCCTCCACCTTGTTTGTCCCAAGTAAGTGTCTGTTATTTCCTGCCTAAGGGCAACATGTAAATGTCTGTTTATGTTGCCTAAGATGTTTTCCCCAAAGCCTCAAGAAAAGAGAAGGCAGGGCCAGAGCAGTAATAGTTCTCCCACTAGGGTTGTACCAGGCACTCAGATTGGGGGAAACACACCTTAGAATTAAAATTAAGAAGCATGAATGAAAAAAAGAATATCTTTATGTCCAAAATACTATTCATGAGTAGTGTAATTATGAGTTATTAGCTAATTTGAAACTTCTATTATGGGCATATATTATTCTTATTATTTATTTATTAAAATATGTTTTATTGATTTTTTACAGAGAGGAAGAGAGAGGGATAGAGAGTTAGAAACATCGGTGAGAGAGAATCATCTATCAGCTGCCTCTTGCACACCTCCTACTGGGGGATGTGCCCGCAACCAAGGTATATGCCCTTGACCGGAATCAAACCTGGGACCTTTCAGTCTGCAGGCTGATGCTCTATCCACTGAGCCAAACTGGTTTCGGCAGCATCAATTATTTTTATAATTTCCAAGGGGCTTTTTAACAATTTTTAGAGAGGAACGGAGAGGGAGAGAGAAATATCGACATGAAAGTGAAACAACGGGTTGGCCCCTGCACGCCCCCTACTGGGGATGGAGCCGGCTACCAGAGCAGGTGACCTGCCTGGGAATCAAACCTGCAACCTTTCTGTGCCAGGGACAATGCCCAACCAACTGAGCCACACAGGCCAGGGCTGACTGCCCAAGGAAAGGCTGAGGACATGCACGGTGGGACAAGGTGACTGAATTCTGGTCCTGTCTGTGGGCACTGAGTGGTAGAAGAGAAAACACCCGACTGCCAGGGATTGTTGTGAAAACCTGTCCTTGAAATCTCAAAGCAGAAGAGAAGCTCACCCTGAGGCTAACATCAGGCTACTGGTCTAAGTGTTTTTAGGGAAAGAGTGGAATGACCACCTTTTTTATAAAACATAGGATTGTTTTATAAAACAATTGTGCTCCTGTAGAATTTTGTAAAATTCTACAGGAGCAGGGAATCATTACTAGCAATGTGAGGCACAACGTCTAATGGCTGAATGTGGCGTCTCAATTTATAGCCAATGAAGGCAGTAAATATGGTGTGACTCAGGTTTAGACATCTATTTTCAACTGGTCGCTCCTCACTTCTTTGGCAAACCTAACATCAAAGCCTGCTTCTCTTTCCAGTGTAATTTCACTCCTTGCCATTTTCCACCACTCTGGATCTGCTGCCTCTATTGTCTTTAAATAAAAATTAATTCTATTAGGATTTAATATGCCAATTCAAAGAATTATCAGAGCATCAATAGGTGAAAAAACAATTGACAAAAATAGCCAAACTGTTCATTCTTATGGTCAAGTTTGCAAATCAAGTGAATGGTATATTTAGGGTGTGAAATATTATATAATCATTAAAATATCAGATACAAAAAATTATATGGCACCATAAGAAATGCTTATATTACAGTAAGTGGAACAAGCAGGATGCAATGTTGCTTGCATATTATGAATAAAATTAGTCTTTGATAGAAACTGTCAAGGAAAAAAAATAGCAAGCAATATATCATGATATTAATTAGCTTTTTAGGATTGTGAAGAATTTTGTTTTTAACAAGTTACTGTTCTAATTTTCTAAAAAATTCTGAAAGGAATGATTAGATTCAAACTGTACACCGTAGAGGCCAAGAAGGGGATTATTTGGTGATCATGCCACGTGAACCTAACAGGAGTCTCAGTTCCGCGCTGGAGGTGGAAACAGGGAACACCAGTTTAAGGGGGTTGGAAGGAAGTGAAGATGACAAGCTGAAAGCACAAGCTTTTAAAACGCGGGGAAAGAGACAGAAAATAGAGGAAGCAGGACAAAAGAAAGGTCTCATTGAGCCGGGGAGTCTGTCATCTTTGCGGGGAAGAGGAAAAAGTCAACAGGGCACAGGACGTGAAGAAACAGGAAGTTGGCTCAGAGCTGGGTCAGGCGCCACTAAGTTACCTGTGGAACTCTGTGCAGGGAGCTTAACCTCTAGCATCTAAGTGTGGTTACTTTTCAGGGTTGCTGTAAAAATTAGGTGAGACAATACCTCTGAGGTACCCTGCAGTTCTTGGAAAGGAAACACACTACTGCTTACTATTTGTTGTGATCCTCTCATTAGCATAAAGAGGAGGGGGCAGATGGGTAAAGAGGTAAGGGTTACAGAAGAGAGGCCAACACTCAGCTAGGAGGCTAGGTATTGGAAAAGGGAAAGATTTTGATGGTGGTAGAAGATTAGCTACAGAGGAGTTCCTCTGTGTTGTAGAGCCTGTAGCATCCTGCTCTATCTCCACGTCAGGGCTATTCTGTGTCACCTATATATATAAAAAACTAAGCGACCATTACGACAGGCCGGGAGTTATGACATACACTCACCCAGACCTTGCTGCTGGGACCCTGAGAGCACCAAATCTGGTTCACCTGCACCCCAGACCCAGACAGGAGGGAGGAGGGAGCCTGATTCCTCATGGAATCAGCCAGCCTCTCTCAGTCCCCCACCCCCACCCCGCTGGCTATCCCCCCACCCTCATCAGCCCTGATTGTCGGCCAGGCTGAGGAACCCCACCTGTGCACGAATTCGTGCACCGGGCCTCTGGTAATGTAATAACAGCAATACTACCTTTTATATTATACCAAATATAAATGGTACAAATATTTGAAGAGTTAAAAAAAATTAGGTCATGATACATACCAGTACTTTTATTGAAGTTCTTATTATTGATTATTATACATAAGCCCATTTCAGGATAATCCATTTTGTAAGTATTGTCATTTTGTGAGGATATTCCAGAGTCCATTGATTTGCTGCCATGGAAGGGCTTTCTGTTAGGAAATCAAACAACAGTTTACAAAGGTTGCTGTTGTCATTGATACACAGTAAGGCCCATAAGCACAGTGAGCACTTGTAGAATCCCTTTCGCAGAAGAGGAAATGACCTCCTCGAGGCTGAGTGAGGTGCCGAAGGTCACGCAGATGCCATGCCAGCGCCAAGGCTGAAGGTATATGTTGGCCTTCAGAGTGCAGGGCTTGAATCTCTATACTCTGCTTTCCTCTAAATTTTACTAAAATTCCATCAAATACATTTTTCACTTTAAAAATTTTTTTGTAACTTTGTGAAATAGTTTCTCTTTCAAGGTAAGAGTAAGATCCTAAAAATTATCCTGAAATGATAGGAAACCAACGAAAGGCAGATATGACTCAAAGCACAACATGTATCGCAATTTCTAAATTGTTCCTTACAACCTCTGAGCTGAACAAATTAAAAACTTATTAATACATAGACTCACTATTGCAAATAATAGGAAATACTTGTCTGAAGGCCACTTATCCAAAAACCTGTATTATCCAGACCAGGGCCAGTCAACTTTCCCTCAAAAGGGCCAAATACTAAGCATTTCAGGCTTGCAGGCCACACAGGGTCCGTGGCAGCTCCTTCACTCTGCTGGTCAAAGCAGCCCAGGGCGATATTTAAACAAATGGGTGTGGTTTATGTGCCAATAAGACTTGACCAAGGGCGCAAGCATGACCCCTGGTCTAGACCAGGAATCAGGAAACAGGTCTGAGACAAACATTGGTATCTAAAGTACTTGTACTTTGCACTTTATCTGAGGGCAGTGTATCTTACACACAGCTCTGAAAAAGTGGCTGGAAAAAGATTAGGACCGTAAGTTGTAAGTTAAGGAAGTCAATGTCAAAAACAAGCGATTAGTTATATTTAACTAAAGGCCAAGATCTCGCATTTTACAGATAAGCAAGTTCAAACCCTGAGAGCTGAGTGACTTGTTGAAGGTCACACATATAATGGATCCTGGAATTAATTCCCCACCACCTCCTACTGCCTCTTAGGGCACATGCTCCTGTATAGGCAATAATAAAATAGCTGGACTGGTAGGGGACATACTGGTAAGCAGCAGAGACTCAAAAAAAAAGCTTAGGAACCTGATGAAACATACATAACATAGGATTAAAACAGACCTAAATCTATTTTGGGCACCCATGCAATTTGCTATTAAATTATGTTCTAGTATGATATAAAAAGATACGAAAATGTGTAAATCATTTTGAATGGGTTTAAAAAGAAATTAAAATCTTCTAAAATGAGCTCGTATTCCAAAGCTTAATTTCTAGGAAAATTCCTTTACTAAACAATCATAGCTAAATTTTTATAGGCAACCTGTTAGTAGTACTGCTGTAATACTACTATTTAGTACTAGAATTAGCCTGTAATTCTCTGAATGGTCCGGAATAATAATACCGGGTCCCAGAAATAAACTTTTAGTATGAAAAGTATCACAAGAGATCCCAAACAGATATAATAATAAAGACATGAATTAAGAGTGTTTGAGTTTTATCTCTTTCCTTTCTCTATCTGCTGGGTATTGGAAGCATTAACACACAGAATATCCCAAACAGAAAGAATGAGAAAATAAAGGGTAAAAGATAATCTATAACTGGGCAATTCTTCTCCAGATTAAGAATTGGCATTTCATGTTAGCCTTAAATCTCCTAAATAAACAGGAGCCCCAAAACACGCCCCCCCAACATGCACCCTCTCACTCTGCAGAGCAGCCTGGGGAGGGACAGGAGCCTCTGAGTCCTGCCTCCCCTGTGAGGTCCCTCTGCTTCTGGGACAGGGCTTCCAAGTAGGGGCACAGCAATGGATCTGGTCTTTCCCTCCGTGTTACCCAGTCCTGAGAGATCTTTGTTTTGAAGAGGAGACTCAGGGGACAGGTTAGCATGCGGAGAGCCACACAGCGGTTGGGTAGAAAGCAGAGCTGGTCTCTCTGTTGCGCCCCCTCCTCTTTCTGCTCCCCCACTCCTCAGAACCTGCTTATCACAACCGTCTTCCTCTCCTTACACGGGTCCCCTGGGAATACTCACATGTCCGAATTCCTGATGGACTTAGCATCCACTGAGTTTTCACTGTTCTCCATGGATCCTTCTGTTAACTAGGATATAAGGAAAATAGTCAAAGTCAGTCACTATCCGATCACTGCCTTATATTCATTGCTGGAAACAAATGTTTCACTAAAGAGAGATGTCAGGAAGCCAGGAAGGCTGGTCAACAACCTTAATTGCTCTAACCACTCTTTAGTTGAGACATGTTAGCTGAAGCAGCCTCCACCTTGTTTGTCCCACGTAAGTGTCTGTTATTTCCTGCCTAAGGGCTACATGTAAATTTCTGTTTATGTTGCCTAAAGTGTTTTCCCCAGAGCCTCCATAAAGGGATGGCAGGGCCAGAGCAGGGTAAGTTCGCCCACTAAGGTTGGACTAGCGCCTGGGCTCCCATATCGCCAAGTTGAATTTCTTCAAGTCTTTTCATTTGTGTGCAGACCTTCTCCAGAACCCGAACCCTGAATGGGAACCCTTTCCACGCGGGACGTGAAAGAGATTCCCACAATTCATTATTCCAAAGATGATTTCTCCAAGTTAATACATAACACGGATATTTCCCCATTAGGTTACGTTCCTCCCTCTGCTTCCTCTGCACCCGATAAAGGTTTCCGTGAATTGGACCTGAGAATAATAATCCTTTGTAAGGGTGTGTGTAATTCAGCCCTTGACTTCCTCAACATCTTTTTCTTTCTTAACCGAGGAAGAATAATTACACTTTTTACACTGAGAGCTAAATGACATGAAGGCTACCAGTAGGGCTGCCCTTGCCGGCAGAGGGACCAGCAGGCAGAGGTCCTGCATGGGCTGGTGTATTCATGGTCAGGAAGGCCAGTTCGGACGGTAAGAGGAGGGAAGGCGCTAAGGGAGATTAAGCAGGAAAGGCGAGGTCACATAGGCCCTTCGGAGCCACGGGGAGCTCTGTTCCGGCTGCAGGGGAAGCCACGGAGTGCTCTCAGCACAGGAGGAACTGCCTGCTTCCCGAAGACCACCCTGGCTGAGGGGCAGAGGGGCAGCAGCTGTAAAGCCTGGACACAGGCCAGCGAAAAGCCTTCCCGAATAGTTCTGGCCAGTGGTGATGCGAGTTTGACCTAGAGTTGGACAGTGGATAAAGGTGGGTAAGAGGCTGGATCTCAGGGACAGCTCAGGGCTGGAGAAATACGGGCACTCTGGTACTGAGAGGGCTCCTGGAGGAAGTAGGCCAGAGAGAGTGGGTGGTGGGTGGTGGTGGCGAAATCAGGTGAACGTGGGGTACCAGAGCACGCGGAAGTCTTTCCAGGAGGATTGGGCTGCTTCAGATCTTCCCAAGAGGTCAGTTCAGAAGAGGTCAGAAGACCATCGCCTTAAAGTCATGCGTACAGTGGGGTTGTTGGGAAAAACCGTCCAAGACTTGGAAATGGACAAAGAATATGACTAGATATAATTTCAGTGGACTGTCTGATTTCCTAGGGTGTCCTAGGTATACTTTCTGATATCAGAGATAGTTTTGTTTTAGGAAGGTAGTTGGTGGCTAAAATAAAATAACATGAATTCCTTCAGAACAGAATTTAAAAGAGAGTCTAATTATTTGAGAGGGATTTCTCAGGAACAAACACAATAATATACTTTGTCCCTTCATTATTAGTATCTGAGTAATATATACACTGAGTGGCCAGGTTATTATGCGTTCAGAGATCATAATAGTCTGGCCACTCAGCCGAAACGAGTTTGGCTCAGTGGATAGAGCGTCAGCCTGCAGACTGAAAGGTCCCAGGTTCTATTCTGGTCAAGGGCATGTACTTGGTTGTGGGCACATCCCCACTAGGGGGTGTGCAAGAGGCAGCTGATCGATGATTCTCATCAATGTTTCTAACTCTCTATCCCTCTCTCTTCCTCTCTGTAAAAAATCAATAATATATATATAAAATCTGGCCATTCACTGTATATTGCAACAGCGTCAGTGGGCCTTCATGCACTATGAAAAGATTAGGTAATGGTGAATAAAATCCTCATTGCATCAGACAGGCGCACATCTGCTCTCTCACTGTCACCATCTGCTTTTCCCGATGGAGAGACCAGCCGCACCCCTGGGGGCAGGCCCTCTGCCTGCAGGAGCTGGTGGCAGACTCCGCATTACCTCATGGCCATTAGCTAATGCCTGCTGCAGGCAAGCTGGGCGGGGGCTGGTGATCTCATCTTAGGAGGAAAAATAAAATTATCCCTCGTGGGGAAATTTAATGCCCTCAATGCTAACAGGAGCTTAAGTTCTTAGGGCATTTTCAGATGACAAAACATCAATAGGAAAATATACAACAGGGGTTTTAAAAACATATCCTGGCACAGCAGTGACTTAACACTATCTGCTTCTGTCTGTACATAATTATCTTCATCAATTCAGGATATTGATGGTATTAGGTTCTGGATAAGTTCTAAGTATGTCTACCAATGGAAATAAGACAACTGGAAATCCGGTCTTAGAATCTCCATCTCCTCTAGTCCCTATATCCTTTCAGCACTTAGCACTAAAGCCACAAGAGTCAGAGCTTCAAAAATCAGTGCGATAAGAAGTAAAGGAGAATTAATCACCTACAGAATTAAGGCAGAGGAATAAAAGTTAATTTTTTTTGGCAAAGTTGAAATTTTGACTTGAAATGATGAAGTATTAAAATCTGGAGGGAAAAAACGAAACCCTGGTATAAAATGAATAGTTAAAAGGTGTGCTAATGGCAAAGGTTTCAAAATGAGATATTAAATTAGTATAACCAGTCTGAGTGATTCCTACTCGGCTAACGTGTCACCCACATAGGCTGTTCCAGTGCCTGGTCTCTGCCCTAATGGGTTTTAAATCTCAAAATGACACATAAGATCTAACGTTGCTCACTTTTGAATCATCTCGATAAATATGGATCCCTAAAAAAAAAAATTATAAGATTTACCAAAAAAGCTAGCCAAAGAAAAGATCCGAAAACCACCATGCCTATGTCACGTGCATGTTGGGAACAAAGTGTTACGTAATAACAGTTCCCCTCTGGCAGGCTCATCTGGGCCCTGTTACGTATGGATTATTTATTTACTATTTCTGGTCAGTCCTCCCAACCATGCTGAGGCATCATGATTCCCATTTCATAGTTCAACTGAGAAGTGGCAGAGCCAGGGTGCGAACCAGGATCTGTCTGTCTCGAGGGGCACACAGCTTAGTCACATACAGGAAGCGTAATACCATTAATTTTTCCAGGGAAGGAAACAAAAATCCCTAACGAGAAGCTCTGATCAAGGGGAGACAAAGGCCTAAGTTACATGGAAGAAACGGACTGCAGAGACACGGAAATGGTACACAGTAGCCCGGCCAGTGTGGGTCAGTGGTTTAGCGTTGACCTATGAACCAGGAGGGAAAAAAACAAAACCCTGATACTGAAATGAATAGCCAGACCGATTTCCAGTCAAGGCACTTGCCTAAGTTCCAGGCTTGACCTCCAGTAGGGGGCGTGCAGGAGGCAGCTGATCAGTGATTCTCTCATCATTGATGTTTCTATTCTCCCTCTTCCTTCCTCTCTGAAATCCGTAAAAATGTATTTTAAAAAATAGTACATAGTAGGCTTACTTTAATTAACAGAGAAAACAGAAATGATGGTGAGGGTGCTTCTGATGCATCTGGGTTACTTAAAGTGAAATAACCAACTTCATGGTAAGCAGTCAGTATAAAGTCATGAAGACATATTTTCCAATCTGTTTCTCTCTACAGGAACCTTCTGGAAGAAGGACTTCTGGAAGACCATGCCTCTGCCAAAGAACATGAAAAACACCAGGAGTGTGTCTATTAGCTGCCAGGGGGCAAAGTCTCAAAGCTGTCCCACTTCCAGATTTAGTAAGCGAAACAGAAAGAACATACTCTGCACAATGGTTTGGATAAGATTTCTGCTATCATGTGCCTGAGGTTCTGTTGAAATTGTTTCCCATCTGATCTCTGAATTTCTTTAGGGATTTATAAGAAGCACCAACACTGGATATTGTCCCTGGGCCTGGCAAAGTGGATCTTTTAATATTTATTCTATAATGAAGGTGAAAACACACCACCGGCAAATAAAATTAAAAACAACAAAATGAAGTTTTAGCTGTGCCATGCAAACAAAACCCAGAAAAACAGACTAGTGTGCTCCTTACTTCAGAGCCACAAGTCTTACATGGCATCTGTCTTCCCCTCTTCTGAGGCCCTAAGATAGTGTTTTTTGGAGGACCGGGGGGAAATGGGAAAGTCCTTGCAGACCTAAATAAGTTGCGGACTGGAGGACCTGGGATATCTTTTATAAAAAAAAAAAATCACAGATCACCGATAAGGTCTCCCTCCTCCGTATAAGTAGGAGCTGATTCAGGTTTACAGCCATCTGCCTGCCAGAGCACGTCTGAAACTGAGAAGTTAGTCTCAGGGGTACTGATTCATTTGTCCCATATTGATCTACCGAACACTAACTGTGTGCAGAGTTCTGTAGCGAACCCTGAGACTATCGGGTCATGGGAGAGACCAAGATCCTAACCCGATGTGGGCTTAGACAATGCTCACTGGTATTCCAAAGTGGCCCGACAAGGCAGAGGCCAGACAAGGTCAAGCTTGTGTCAGATAATGTCACCTTACTCCACCCTGATTCAGAAGCTCTATTAGCAATATGAAGGCAAGAACAATATAGGCAGAGAAATTTACATAGAGACTTACAAAGCATTGTCACTGACACTGCATTTTACACTCACAACCGCCTCATGGAGTGTGTAGATTACTTATGCCTCATTTATGGACGAGCTGGTAAGTGCAGCCCTTGGGAACCGGCCTCGGGTCCTCTGACTACAGAGGACCTGTTCCCTAGCCCCCTCCATTACATTCCTGTTTGTTAAACGTGTACAAAACAGGATCTAACCGTCTAAGAGTTCCCACACGTCTCCTAGTCCCACAAACAGCAGTCAGTGCTCCCATCTGTGAAGCACAACTTTAAAAAAACTAACAGTAGGCACCAGAATGGACTTAACGCCATTCATGACAATGAAGATTGCTTTCTATTAATAGCATTAGAAG